GGGGGGGGGGAGAGACAGACAGATGAATGGACAGAGGCATTATTCTATAAATTAAAATTTATGTGCTGAAATCAGAACACTGCTAGCAAAGCCAGCTTCATTTATCCAGTCCCTTTCAAGGAGTTTAAAGTCACTTGAAAGAGCACTTCCCTCACAGCCGCTCTCGACAGATTGCCAATTACAGCCCTGCTGAGAGGATGGAATTTCTTTGGAGTCACAACTGTACGTCTGCCCTCGCAGTAACGGGCAAGGTATATGCCTTTTGATTAGGTTACAAAAAAGTATCTCTAAACTGGAAAGCTTTGTTTCCACGCGTCTGAATTTGCTCAGTATCAAAAAAAAAGATAAGCTTGTGTTTACATCAAGTTGACAAATTCAGAGGTTAATTGCTTTTAAGCAGGCAGGTCAAAAGGATACCTAAACAAGGATCCTACTTAAGGAAAACACATGTTTGTAAATGCAATACAAAGAGCTTTCAAAGATATTATAAGGAGATACAGCATTGTCCATGCTAGGTAGATCTGTGCAACCTGGCACCTACAGAAAGTGCTGTCAGACGTTCAGTGGCAGTCTGAAAACCCTCAGTGAAAATTAGTGAGAAAGAAGAAAAATATCTGTGGGGTGGCTTCAGTTTAAAAGTTAAGCATCTGATCTAAGTTAGCCAGCTAGACTCCATCTATTGCCAACAGGAGCCTACAGTATGTCATTTATCCCACCTATCTGAAAAAATATCTCCCAGGAGGGAGCAAACCACCCTGTGTAGATGCTGATCTCTCTTGACTAGAGAAGGAAACTAGACTTCTAGAGTACACCAACTGCCTAAATGTTGGATGGCTTAAATTTGGTGAGATTAAGCCCATCCCTGAGGATTGAATAACTTCAACATTTTGTGTCAGAGGATAGCAGTATTACCACTCTTTATGCATCACTCAAGAGGAACAGCCATGTGTTTAAAATCCAACTTCAAGAGGATACAAATATTTCAGTCCTAGATGCAGTCCCTTAAGCTTCACTACAAGTACACTTCAGCTTAAAGTGAAGCACATGCTTAAGGATCCCTGAGCTCACATCCTGATGTCTGGGCAGTCCATAACTGCTCCTCTGGATTCAGCTGTGCAACCACACATCTTCCCAGTGCTACAATAGCTAAGTTACACTGTCGGCTGCTAACGGCCAAATACTGACTGACTGCTTGGAAAGGCTGGACAGGCTGTAGAGCTGCTGTAGCTTTGCTCTATGTAACTCCTTCCAATGGTCACAAGTCCAACCAAGAAGCTGACTTCCACTACCCAACCCTTCAGGCCAGGAATTAAACGGAAGAAGCCATGAAAGGCTGCTCTGCTTTGTAGAAAAAGAAAAGGAAACAAACCAGTAACAGAATGGAAAACTTCCCAGAAATGAGAGAAAAAAACTGCCTCCAGATTTGTCACCGCAAAGCGCTGCTGCTGGCTGTTGGACCACAAGAGGACCACATCACCTGCCGTAGGCGCTTGCCTCCCTGCAGACAGGATGAACCTTCCATCGCGAAGCTTGCCTGGCTCCGCTGCAGAAGCACTGCTCCTCCCTCCACGGGGCCAGAGGGGAAAGTTTTGCTCCCACAGGACTTTATTGTCTGCTTCTTAAAAAATGCTGTAATCTTTTTAACTTTTACAAATGTTTTAACTCAGTAAAAACTATTTAAAGTAAGGACGAGAAGGGCAATTGGTCAAAGGACTGCAGCATGCTTAATCTTTTTTTTTCTTTCTGAGTTCCCGTGCACATTTGAAATAACTTTTGTTCCATTTGCAACCCACATGCTGACACAGCATCCCTCCCCTTTTCTGTTCCCAGATCCTGTTATGAGTTTATTCAATAAAAAGACAGATATTCATCTCTTTTCAAGTACAAGAACATGCTTTTGAATAACTCAATATGCGATACTGTAACAGTACTCCAAGCCAGCTCGTTTTAATCAGTCGTATCAACTCTCAGAGCAGAGCTGCCATATACATATCATCACCTTGCGCATTTACTTCATGGGTGTGTAAATACATAGGGCTAAATTTGGGCTGCCTGTTCTGCATGTAGGGGAAGAGGTGATCCCCGGGGATGAGGGTGCCCAACCCAGGTCCCTCGGAACCTCTGGAACCCACAGCCTGGATCCACCATCTGGCTGCCCTCCTCACGACAGCAGACCTCTCAGCCGGCCGGTGTCTTTTAGCACGTACCCGGCCTGAACATCCCAGCTAGAGCTACAGCTGGGATGTTACTTGAGGAAGGAAGGAAGGAGGAGGAGATTTTACTACAGAGTGACACTCTATAAATATATAAATAAACAAACAGGCAAATCGGGGAGGAATGCCCCTGGCTTCCTGCTCCTTGCTGTGGGACCAGGGAGCAGCTCCCGGAGGCAGGAATTAGCAGGTTTCCCAGCTGTGTCCCAGGAAGAAAGGAGTTAGAGGGGGAAGACAGGATGAGGAAACAGGAACCATAAGCCAGAGACTAGACCGACAGGAAAGCATGCAGAGGTGGATAGGAAGGAGATGCTGGAATGCAGGGTAAAAAAAGCAGCGATGACAGAACCAGCAAGACTGACGGGCAGGTAAGGGAGGACCAAAGGCCTAGAGCAGACGAGAATGGTCTTGTGCAGTCCAGCAAAAATACAGCATACGAGGACTGGTTTAGAGGCTGGGGACATAAGCGGACATCGGGCTGAGGGTGAAATTTAACTGAACCGAGTAAGGGTGAAATTAAACTGAACTGTCCAACGGGAGCAAGGAGATGAAGTGATACATGCAACAATTTCCCACCTGCCATGGACACAGTGCGTAAGTCACACATGAAGAAGCTCCCCCAGGCAAAGGGTTATGCATCTGTGAAACACTGGTGGTTCAGAGAGAAGGTAGCGCTCAAAACAGTCTCTTTGGTAAGTGATGGGTTACACTAGGAGTAAGAGATTGTTTGGTACATGATCTCAAGAAACACGAACATCAGGTCTACAAGAATGTAACAGCAGTCAGGGAGGAGAATCACATTCACTAACCTTCATATATGGTGATGATATGAGGGTGGCTGAGGGATGACATGATCTCAATCTCCCGTCTGATGTGAACCATATCTTGTTCGTCCTTAATTTTGTCCTTACGAATGGATTTTATTGCAACCTATAAATTCAGGAAATCAAGCATTATTCTTGGAACTGAACAGATGCATACAACCCATTAAGGAGAGTTCAAAAAATAAATACAGATGTTAGATGTTGGCAGAACGTGGAATGACCAAAACAAAGCTTTCAAATACAAACCTCCATGCCCCAGCGCTTTCATTTTATAGCAATAAATACACTCTCATTACAGTAATGGGTGACATGAGGTTTTAGGGTCTTCAGGTCCTCTGAAGACTAGGACTTCACTGAGGGGAAACACAGCATCTTTTGGAAGGATCTCTGTGTTAGCCTAAGTACTCTCCATCTGAGGCAAATGGCAAAACTCCCAAAAGATTCTGATGGGAAGTACATTTGCTTAGACATGATTGCGTCTGACAATTTCAAACAGAAGCTTTGGAGATAATTTCTCTGAAAGATGGTTGAGATCTCTGATGGAACGGAGGCAGGGAATCTAGGATGCCGATTACAAATTTATATTTGTCCATGTCAAAACATTGAGGATTACATTAACACGAGTTGTTCCATGGTTCTCTAAAGCAAGCAAACTGCTCAGGAGTTATGACTTATTTAAAAATCAGAAGAAATCAATCTTTGAAATTCACATCTAAACTCGTCCTCATATAAACCCAAGGCTTTCAGGTCCTACACAGCACTTATGCAATCACTGCAAAACCATATCCTTCCTGCATCCTTCCTCAATCAGCAACCTTTTTTCAAGCACATCGTGTGACTGGGTATCTTTCCAAAAGGCAGGGTGGGAACAGAGGAAGTGATAGCTGAACTTGCAATATAAATTCAAATTATAACAGCCCTTGTGAGTGTGTGTGTATATGTGTGTTGCCTGTGAAAAAAGGGCTTATCAGAACAACGCCATAAATAATTGCGGAGGTCAGCTCATGCCCTGTGAGAAACGCACAAGACAACAATGGAGAGAAGCTGGTGGGAGAGGGAAGGTGAGGGCATTGTGCATAGTGAATGGCAGAACTGCCTTTATTATACTCGATATTTACCGTGCTTTATTTTTTGTAAGCCAGAGTTCAAGGAATAAATTACCAGCTAGTTTAAAATCAATAATACATCTTTGAAAAACATCACTGACCTGCTAAGATGACCACCCTTTTATGGGTAAACAAAACTTTTGTCATTCTATGCAGCCAACTACTGTGGACCTCTCCTGGGAAAACATTTGTAAATCTGTGATTTTCCTAGTTCCTTCAGAAAAAAATAATTTCACCGCCTACTTCAGGAATTGCAAGTGGTATAACCGTTATTGTTTTCATTATATGATGTAGCATTGAGGATATTGAAGAAAGAAGGGAAAACTTATAATATTATAAAAGTGAAACACACATAAACAGGAGCTAGTTTAAAGTATCAGGTTTCCTACAATGCCTTCAACTCTGAAAAGCAACATTGTTCAAAAAAGCATTAAGCACATGCCCCATCCCCTCGAATTCCCAAAGATTTCAGCACATGCTTAAAATTAAGCTCATGCTCAAGTGCTATCCTACTTTGGGAGAGCAGAACAAAAAGTAGAGCTCAAGGGACAAACCAATTTGCATGTCAAAACCAAAACCATTCTCTTCTTCCTCTCAACCCAAATATTTGGTATAGAGGTTTTAAAAGTAACCACATAACTATGGTCTTATCTACATGGCACATAGTTCTAGAAAAGGTAATACAACAAGTTTTAATTGAATGAGGGATCAAGATAATCTCCAAGTAATTCTAGAGATGGAGAAGGCAACTAACACTAAAGATTAGGTTGGATTTTTCCCCCTTCCCATGTTTGCACTGGGACAGGCTGCAAATGCAAATATACCCTGTATACAAGAAGGATGTGGGTGGCTCTTGGAGCAGCATGTGTATTCCTGCAAGAAATAAATATAGACATGGGTAAAAACACATTTTTTATTAAAAGACAGCCTTGTACTTGGCACTGAGGAAGAATTTAAGAAGGGTTTCATTGTCAAATATACAACGGGGAGCAAATTCTTCACCATTCATGGCTGGTAAAGTAATAACGGCACCCCAGAGGGCATGCCAACCTCCTACTAACTTGACTCTGTGCTTCACAGACAGGACTTTTGTAAGTCTACACCTAATTACTGCAAATGGCCTCCATGGAATAATTGCACATGTGAAAACATGTATTTTTAGATACAAAAATGCAAATGTGATTGAAAAGCATGGCAGCACTCTGTAAATATATGTTTAGATTAATCTTCAAACGCAAACAGATGCGTTGCCTGGGAACATATTTTTCAACAGGACCAGAGAGTTTACAGTCTCACAACTCGTGTTGAAAAGCAGTTAAGGCACCTAGAAGCCTTAATTTGTAAAGGCTATTTGTAAAAGTTTAACCAAATTTTGAAGATGGTACTTAAGCTCTCCTGAAAACATCACTTCCCAGTTGCAGGGATAAAACTCAGCCCAGCCGAAGTACTTGGGATTTTGTCAGTGACATCCAGGCTGCAAGACCTCACCCAAACATAAGGAGGGAACGCATGTCAAACACATCTCTCGGCTTCTAATATTCAAGACTTTCTCTTCTCTCCCTCAGCTACTTCAGATCACAGTGACCAGCATTTAGAAGCAGGGAATGACACTCAGCGGGTGTGAACTATCTTAACTCCAGTGGTGTCAACAGGTCCTGCGAAGCATCCACCTGACGGTGCTGAGACCATACCCTGCAACCCTGACAAACTGCAAGCACGCTGCGGGGGAGGCGATGCCTCATAGCCAGGGCACACAGCATGGTACCAGTATGAGCACTCCGTATCGGAGCCAGGCTTCAGACACTCGCATGTATGAACGAAATAATATCACTGTCTATTTACATAGCAAACGAGCATGCTCAAAGCACGGTGCAGCCGTTTATTAATTAAATCCTGGGCAGCAAGTAGTGAAACAGCACTATTCCTCTGCTTTTAGGAGATGAGGAAATCAAAACGGAAAGCCGATGTGACTCCTAGAGGAAACGAGGACGGCAGCATCTCAGAAATTGCTGCCTGCATCTCTCTCCCAAACTGTGCAATGCATCACAGGTGTGCCTTGCTCAACAAAGCATCCCATTACTAAAGGCTGAATTCTGATACCTTTCCCCACGTTCAACTGCTAATTTTCCTCTCAAGAAGAGCCTCAGGGAAGTGAAAGGTTCGAACGCATCTCAATAAATACTTTTTACCCTGTGCCACCTGTCTCGTGGCCTACACGATCCCCAAATGGACAGGCTCCACATCTTGAAGCCTATCAGGAGTGCACAGCCTTGCCGGTGACCTTGTATAAGAAGCCAAACAGCAAGTGACTGCTGTCAGCAGAGTCACTGTCAGAGGCAGCATCCCAAAGCAGGATTAGCGGAGCAGCAGGACAGCGTTCGCTCCAGCTCTTCCCCTCTGAGTAGGGGATTTCTGCCAGCCAAGTGTCTTTCACCTGCACCCATCTGCTCAGATCGTGTCACCGGGGTACACGGGCTTAAGTCTACTGATGTGAAAAAAACAACACAAACAAGAAAGCAGTCCAGTATCTTTTTTAGTATTTCATGGAAGTGTTATGAGTCATGATTGCATTTTAGGTTTTGGGTCTTTTTCATCTCTTTGAGCAAAATAAGATTGCTAGCTGTATATTATGGAATCAGGCTGTAAAGCAAGTCTCTCTTCTAGGTATTCTAAAATATCAATAATGGAATTTCTTTCATGAAATGTATTTTACTCAGCAATACACTCCAGAAAACACATTTTTCGAAGTGCACTTATGCTTTTAACACCAGACAGAGCCGGCTCCATTTTTCAAAACCCCACTTACAGGACTGTTGCCAGACATGGTACATGATGAACCTGAACAACTTAAGCCTAATAAGAAATAATCTCAATTGAGAAATACCTTATGAAAGAACTTGTTTGTTCATTCTTTAGGTCCTTTTTTCTTTCTTGCTTGCCTGCTCACTTTCCTTGCTTTCTCTGAAAGCAACAGCTCCACTGTGTGCAACATCAAAATTTATTAAGGGTCACAGCCTATGAATCAAGAGTAGGGCTAACGCAACATGCTTTTTTACATTAGCTACATTAACTACTCCAAATATTCCAGCTCAAGATCTGCAGAGAAAGTGCCGTTAGTCCCTTTGGTACACTCAGAACACTTATACTTCTACCACACTTTCTCAATATATTTTACCGGGTTTAAGACTTAGATAATTTAATTACAGTATTTTTAGTAACTTTACTAGTGGAGGAATTTGTACTTTTCCTAGCTTCTTGTCATAATGAGAATTTCAGATAACTCCAAGGCCTTGCAGTCAGACATAGTAACATATCAGATTCTTAATAATGAAATCTAAAGCCTCTCACCCCAACAAAACAGGTTCAGGTTCACCCAAAGCCCCTATAGAAACAGTATCCAATCTGGCAAAACACTTTAGCACATGCCTAACTTCACACATGTGAGCAGTCTATTGGCTTTCGTGGAATAGCTCACACACATAAAGTTAACTATATGCATAGGCACCAAGGTCACGGCTCAAAATTAGGCCATGTGATGGTCCCTCCAGGCACTGATACTGGCTGTACACATCAGTTAACATCCTCGGTACCTCTTCTGCAGCTCTGATGGCAACATGGTCCCACACATGGGATTAGAGAGGGAGAAAGGAGCACCAGAGCTGGACTGAAACCACCTCCACCTGCACTGCCAGTTCTGGTATCAGCCACTGCTCTGAAGCAGGTAGAGAGAATACCCTCTCCAAAATGTATGGCACAAGGGAGAGAAAGCAGGGGGTTGTGAACCTCTACTGTTGCCAGGCGTTTCTAAACGTCTTTGCACAAGCACAGCCCCTGCTCAACCGCTGCTCTGCCTTCCAGAAGCAGATAGGAAAAGAGGGAGCACAGCTTTTGGCTTCCCATCCCTCCATGAGTCAGCTTATGGAGTCTGCTGGGCAGGAAGCATGGAGAAATACGTTGTTCCCTTCAAGGCTGCAATAAATTACCTGTCTTGATT